TGAGTTCCTTTTAAGTATGCTTCGAGCATATTTACAGTTATGACTCTTCTGACTTGATGTTGTATCACTATTTCTATCCTCGAGCTTCCCTCCATCTAGTGAGTGAAACCCTTTTGTCCACGCTTCATCAGTTAATCTCAGTCCTCAGTAATGTTTCAACAGAGTGGATCTATTATTTGTAGCGCTGGGCAAAATGTTTTCCTAAAATCAGTTAAATTGCATTTCCCTACTGTGTATACGAAGAACTATAAGAGGTCACTTTTTCTTGGTCAGACGGCTTCCCTCCTGGTTCTACAGCCTTTAGACCAAGAGGATAGATTTAGTCGCCTTTATTTTTGTTTTGAACTGCTACATAGGAGTGCAGTCAGGGCCGTTGTTGCAGTTGAAACCAAAATAGCACATTTTAACGACCCCGAAACGCTGGCGCTTTATATCAAAAGTGGGCACCCGCACCACCTGGGGCTGGATTGATGTCATTTGTTACGGTCAACACTTTCACACTACTTATAGCATTTTGCGAGTAGAGGAATGTCGAGAAATGTCTAAAGTTTCATTTTCCAACAATACCTTGGATGGCTTTGTTCCGCAAAGTTTTCCCGTTTATTGCGTCCTCAACCTGGCACTTTCAGCACATGCAACACCTCTTACCAGCTGAGCCTATTAGTAAACATTGCTTTTTGAATTCAACAAAGAACTGCTGATTCAATCAGACTTACCTTCATTCACCTAAAACGGTCTTTGGTGCTTATGTTTACTGATTGCATTGTCAAATAACAAATTGAATGTCAAAGAAAGTCAAAAGAACTTTACTGCAACCTTTCACGGTAGTGCATTCAGTGTAAATTGCATATTTTTGATGCAGCACCAATTAATGGCAATGCAATGGACAGAATCTGATTGAACGGATCGTGTCAGAGTGTCAGTCGATTTTTGGGTGAAGTGAGGAGGGCTTAACCCAACAAAGCGGAGGGCAAAAGTGAGGACGAAAGCGACATTCATCTTGAACTAATAAAATTAGCCATTCCAAACCTTAGAGACCAATGTTTGTGAAGTTAGATGGAAGAATCGTCCAATACAAATTGCATTCTCACGACTTTTTCTCTCGTCTATCAAAATTCTCCTCTGTACACTTTTCCCCAGGGTTAACTATTTTCCTCGTTTGTGACGGAAATACAAAATCTTTTAAAGCAAAGTATTAGGTAACCGCTTTTTTAATGAACAATTGACTGATTCGACTTAACTTATCTGTGTGTATTTTTTTTAAATTAACATCCGAGCCACTTTTAGTTTATGAGGAATGTTTCAAAAATAGTCTAGAGGCAAAATACCGTTTGATATCCACCTTAATTGCAAATTTAACCAGCTTCTCCGAATTTGATCCTCACAGACTACAGAGAAGCGTCCTCTTCAAAGTTGTGCCTCTATAAGCACCAAAAAACATCACTCTTCCCAAACCAAACATTGCATTGCACCCCTACCAGAGCCGTTCTTAGGCTTCACCATTTGTGCATGCATTCGCACCCGGGGATGGGCAAATTCACCAGTTTTATTGACTTTCGAAATCGTTGACCAAGTAGATTATGCTGACAGACCAGTCTTCATCGTCTGCGCCAAGTCCTGTCCTTGCTTTGATTGTAAACTTCAAAATAAGGATAAAGGATCGAAATTTCGGATCAGAGATTGTGCTTTTTTCTCTGCAAACGATGCAAGAAGAACTGTGATTGTTAGCGGGTGGAGAAGCAGATTGGATATTGGAGGTACTTAGGTTTTCAGAACTACTGTAGCTCGAAGAACTGCATAAGGGGTAGAGTAGTAAAGGCTTGGGAAAGGATGGCATATTGTGGCAGTGGGTACTCAATTGGTATTTCTGTTTACGTGCTATCATTATACACGGAACCATGAACGCTACCCAATCCACCGCCTACCAATCAGCCGTATAGGCTTGCAGCAGTTTTCTGGTGCGTTTAAGTGTCGTATTATTGAGAGAAAAGGCCTTTACTGCCGCGCTCATAAATCTGTGCATGAACTGCGATTTGTGTGCAGACTTATGCTATTTACAAAAAGCAACACCTACCGTGTCATCCGCCTGTGCGGTTTTGTCGTGGTTCCCTTTATTCCGGCATATTTTGAGAAGTCGTGGGAGGAATCAACTCGACTGCCGGATACTTGAATGGCGCATTCGATTTGACTTGATGATGGCTTTCCGAATGTCAGAAGGCGAAATGTCTGACTTCCGTACACCCAGTGAGCTATTGCTCATTGCATGAACAGCTAAAATTTGAAGTGTAATTAAGGCTTCCACTTTTGCAACTATGCTTAAAGGATGGATGCTATCGCGGCGGCGCTAGTCTTAACTGTCATCCATGAGTAACAACTCTAGCCAGCTCAGAATAGTGAGTAGCTGGTGTAGTATGTTTGATAAAGCGACTGGCAGTAATGAACGAAATTTCTCGTGAATAGAACGAGTGATGAATGCCGCCGGCAACGCAACAGTGATTCGCCCCGAAATTGTTCGACGTTATTGCATTTGATTTGTGTAAACTGCCAGTGAGTACCTCTCCCATTGTGTTTTCTTACTCCTAATCACAGCTGTCGGTGGAATAAGCTTCGCCTACGATTGCAGTGGACTCATATCTTTATAAACACAATGGCTCAGGAACATCTTCAGTTTTGTAGACCTGGATGGCTTTCCACACCGATGACGAGGGAATCTTCCCATGCCAAATATGCGTAAAAGCAGTGGTAAAACGGAGTGTTCCCACTCCTTAACATGAAGTCCTGAATAGCAATGAAATGAAGTGTACTGTTCCTATGCCTATCTCTGTGCGAATTCACAGCTTAGTCTGAAGACGTAACATCCTAGAAGTTATCTAAAAAAGGCTTCATGTCAAGCAGAATGCAAGTGAATTGCGGAGGAGTGGTAGAGCTCACAAAGTGACGCATTGCTTCTGCTCTGATTGCCACTGTGAGGGACGATGAAGAGGCCATAATCTTCAGGATTGCTCGCACCATTTGTACTCCAAGAATGCACCAACTGTCCATTGTCGGTGAACTGGATGCCTGGACGCCTACTTAAGAACTGGAAAAATTCCATATGTTTTTCCGAATTTTAACTACTTTAGTGCTCCTATTTTCTAACTCTTCATCAGGAGTTCAACAACGTTTCATACCATTTGTACTTCCAGGGCAATGGGGAGGATTATAAAGCAAATTTTAATGAATTCTCCTCTTGCAGCGTTGATGAATTCGCAAATTTATTTTTCAGCGTTGCGCCTCATGCCGACTTTAATGACATTTTTGCCCTTCGAGTTGTCTACATTCCCGTTACCATCTGCGCCTACATTGGACCTGCATTGATTGTCGGCCTCTGGTTCGGCATGGCTCGTCGGTTTAAATCGGGTCTGGGGTTGTGAGTTTTCTTTTTGTAGATGTTAATAAATTGTTTGGTCACTAAATTATTCATAAACTTGTTAGTTCATCTGATCACGCATCTATTCACTAAATAATTAACTTTACAAGTCGCTCATCCACTCACTCACGCAATAAATCACTTAACTTACCAATTTGCCTATCTCCTCATTTCCTCACTCACCCATCCACCATGCAGTGCGAAATCGTTTATCTTCCAGGCTAAATCATCTGCCTATTCATGAAGCCCTTCCATCCAACTACCCATCTACTGCTCCATCACCGTAAAGTTTTAAAAAATATTCGTGCATATCCGATTCCCCGACTACTTTGGTATTCACGTCCCACTGCATTCACTTCTTTCCCAATCATCGTTCCCAAAAACCTCATCCATCTTGGCTGCATTGTTTTTTTTATCAGAAATCCATCTATCAGTCTATTTCTGAAGGCGTTTAGCCTTTTTCAAGTGACTTCTACCTCCAATTTTGCCTAGGCATTCGCTCTAATGCTTCCATTCACATCAGATAAACTTGCCTAAAACCTACATGTTAACATATCTATCCAACTTTCCATCCCTTTCCAAGTTGGCTCTCTAGTTAGGTTGCCTAATCTTTCGGTTTTTGCTTCATTGTTTAAAAAAATAAAAGACACTCTCTTTTGTGGACTAATTAACTGTTTCGAAAGCCTGCTCTTAGAGTTAGTTACAAACTGATGTAATCGCCAGTTCTTTCATGCATTCCTTCGCGCACCCAAGGGCCTTGGAAAATCAGACACTTATTTAATGACCGGTGTGTAAGTTATTCCACAAGAACGACTTTTTTCAGTCAAACCCTGATTCCATAAGCGATTAAGTCATCTTCCCTTGGTGAGTCTAAGACTTACAAAACGGTCCGCTTTGCCACCGAGTAACTCATTTTCTGACACATTCACAAGCATTTCCAACCACTGACTTACTCAATGAACCTTTGGTTCTCGCATTTGCCCTACCATCGGCCCAAATTATTCATTACGTGACTAACTGACTGGATGGTTTATTCACGCACTCCTTTGTTTGCACAGTTGTTGGGACCTCATAAAACTGCCCATTTCACTCCTTCATCCGCTCATTGGCTAATGAAGGCTCCAACTTCAGCATTTGTTTCACATTCCTTGATCGTTCAATCATCGACTGAGTCGGTTACTCCCTTACAGACTCAATCGGCAAAAAATGACTAGCTGATAGATTTAGTCGCTAATTACCACACGGCTAGGCCACATGAAAGGAAAACAAGCCATTCGAAGAAGGAGCTTGTGGCCAAAATTAAAAGACCTAGCATCCATTTCATTCGTTTGCTCAAAGGTTACTACCTTCTTAACTCACTCATTCATCACCAAAACCAGCCTCTGCCAATTTGCACCTCTAACTGATCCCATCATTGGGAGTAATCACGAAACAAAAACATCAACCCTTTCCACTTATCTGCTGAGTTCGTACAATTCCGTTCTACTGAGCTCTTGTTAACTTATCACCTCAATCTATCAGTTCCAGGTTCACTCACTCTCTATGTAATTGAGAAGCTCAATCCTTCACACGTGTGTAGGATTGTTCACAACCTCACGAATGGGTTTGTCTTCAGTTGCTAGAGTCGTTACGCCTTCATCTCATGCAGCAGTTAATTACTTCATGGCCATTTGATAAATCTATTCAGTTATCAATTACCGATCTACGCATTCGTGCAAAAAGCCACTCCTGCATTTATTCTTTCCCTTTTTGTTGAAAACGCTAACAACTTTTGATTAATGTTTTACTTGAACTCCTATTCTGCTTCTGTTTCTACTTCTAGATGCATTGGACCAGACTTGCTGGGTTACCGATGGCCCCTTCTAGCTCCTATCACGGCTGTAGTGCTCTTTAACCTTCTTGTTCTTATTACCATTGGTTTCGTTGTTCTTCGTAACTATTTGGCCATTCGAAGGAGTCGTGTCAATAAATCAACGTGAGTTTTCACTGTGAATTTGGTTATATGTTGAGCCTACAAAGGAGCAGCATTAATCACATCTTTGAAGTAATTTGCATTAGTCTTAACAATTAACGATTGTTTTAACAGAATTCTACTACGATTAGGTAGACTCTCAAAATTAATTAAAGTTAACTTAATGATACAATTTGGATAATTCTTGCAAAGTAGTCGTAGCTTAACTGCATGACCTATTTAAAAGAGACGAGGATTTAATAAATCCAGGCATCTTTACGCATGAATTCATGGACTCCTGCACAATTACAAGTGGACTAATTTATTTCGCTAACGACTTCAAAGATGAAGGAAAAATTAGGGTAATGGAAATTCTTTCCCTTTCAGACACCTTTTGGTTCTTGCTCAACTAATGCTCACCCTTGGAATACCCTACATGCTCATCTACGTTCAAATAATCAGTCCCGTCTTTATGCTGCTAATTCTGCCAATAGGAATCGCGCTGACAGCGGTCTTCATGTTCCTATTGGTCGCCGTCATCGACGATGTAAGTGTAATCAAATATTTATTGCATTGATTAAAATGCTGATCGAAATTACCTTTGGCAAATGACTTCCCCTCTAAAACAAACGCCATCTTTATCAAAACACGAACATCTCCAATTACTTGACGATTTCAGTGAGAAATAAGGACATTTGATGAACAACTGTTGGAGAAAGTATTGCTCTATTCAATAAAATCCATCAAAAATAAATTATCGTTTCACTGACCTTAAAATTCTTGTTTTAAAATATAAAACTTTGAAACCTCGGCAATATTCTTTCGTAGCTCTTAAGAAAGTGACTAATTAGATGTATTTTTTTCTTTGATTTTAACTTTTCGGTGTTACTGTGGCCAAAGCACTGCTCAGTTGACCTTTAGGCTGCTCAATTCTGGAAGCCGCTGAATAGCCCCCGGAAACGCTTCTTAATTTTATATTTGCAGAAGATTAGGTCGAGGAATGCTTGCTGCATGGAAATGGTTACAGTAAACCATTGAGTTCTGCTGATGGGTCCTCTGGTTCAAAATTAGAGAGTGTGCCAAGAGCGTGAGTGATAATGTAGTTCTTCCACGTTCGCACAACACATAAGTCGTATAATGTATTCGTCCATGACAAGCTTGAGGCACCACAGATTTTTTTCCACTTCTTCATTTTACTTCACCTGTGGAAAATACGTTAACGCAACTTTTTGGATACTTTAGTGACGCCTTCTGGCTTTCTAACTTCGAAAAGATCTTAACATGCTGACATTGGCTTGGCCTTTGATTTGCCACCAAAGCCGCTCTTGAGCGCACTATCATGAAAGCAGCTTTGTTGTCTACACATCGGAGGTCTATGCGAACGATATTAGGGATTAATATGTCCGTCGTTGAACCGGATGGCGGTGCTAGAACGGTTCACAATATTTCAGCGGCGTCAAATGTGTGCGGCGCACCGACGTTTTCATTGGGACCTGGAGTCATAAATTTGGAACAGGCATTTTGTATCAGTTCGCAGTAGCTGTTAGTGTGCTGAAATCAGATTGGATGAGTTTCAAATTTCTTTTGGTCTAAGAGTGGTTGCAGTTCTCTTCTTCACATTTTCGATCAGCAATTAAATTTCCGATGTTTGGCTCTTTCTAAGCAATGAACCATACGTCCTATGCTGATCACAATTTTTACTCATATCCCAAGGGTAGAGGTAATCGGATTAAAATAGAACTTCCGAGTTAAGAGTGTGGTTGAGGGAAGTAAAAACGAGCCTTTCTGATTAACTGATAAGGTTTAGATGGATTAGCCATTCAACGACTCATCATAACCTAGAAAGGATTGAAAGGGGTACCATAAAATATTGCCATCACAGAGAGCTGAAGCCCAGGACGATAAAGTACGTAGTGCATGGGTGGAAATTGGCAGTGAGGTGCTGATGAAAGAATACGTTAAACGAACATCCGGTTGAACATACGCGGATAAGGAAAGTGTTTCGAAATTCATTACCAGAAATTGGAAAACGTTTAAAGAAAACATAACTGTTTTACTATCCTGATTAGCATGAAATCTTCGTTTCCTCCAGTTTAATTTAATTTATCCACAAAATAACTCATTACCACCTCATCTACCGCCTACCAGTCTATTCCGTATCCGTGCACCCCTTGCCACTCCACGCATGCACCTGCTCACTTACTTACCCTTTGTTCCCACTGTTTCGTATGCGGTCTATTTTCAACATTATTTTAACATTTATTGGCCTCTCATAAATGCTAATTTTGCTGTTTGACTTTCATTCCTAATTGGGGATTGTCGGCTCATTCTCCACCGTCATTGGCTGCAACGTGACAGAGGTCGATAAATGACCCCACTTACAACGGTCACCACGGCAGCGTGTGCATGCATACGCCTATTTTACGGACAGACTGATTGACTGACGGACTACTGAATCATGGACATTCTCTTGGTGGCCTTGAAAATGCAATGTTCACAGGGCTAATAAAAGTGTCCCGTTTGTAGAGGTCTGGATAGAATGCACGGTGCGATGTGGCAACTAGGGCTTAGGGCAGTTGGTGGATCGCGTCTATGCTAGGGGCAACCGCAGACCATTCCGTTGATTAACTGAATGTTGCCCTAGGTGGGCGTGTCTATCAGACGCATTAGGGAACAGGCGGTGGTGTTGTGCCTTACCATGCAGGTGGGGGTCACTGCAAACCGTTGCTTTTTCATATTTCACCTCGTATTTCATCAATGACTCACGACCATGGTGACTGTCAATGGCTACTTTGATGATGACTTGATAAGGCCGACAGAGTGTAGTAAGAATTGACTTCTGATCGGTTAGTGCCGGTTAAAAGTAATTCGTTAACGGTAACTGACAATCGTCATCGCTGGCAGGCGTAACGTAAAAGGCCAATCCTAAGTTTTATTTCGAACATTGACTTGCTGCCGCCTTGTTAGTTTATTGGGCTACACGGGTTTCTGCTAGAAGAATGGGTATGCGTCAGGACTTTGGGCTGATTTTATGGAATCATATTCGATGCAAACTAAACTACAGAAATCAGCCATACGAAAGCAGTCACCCGTTTGGGATAGCCGAATAACTCATTCATCTGTAGGCTGTATTTGCACCAACACCCTAAGTGACAGCGCTTTTCACTGGTCCATCACCGGAACTCCATTCCCATAGATACGATGGCAGAATTGAGGAAGGTGGAAATGGTTACCATAGACTACTGTCATCTTTACTGAAGATAAGTTTAAAACCACACAAGAAAGTGGAACTTTTGAGATAGAAGTTTATTTACTGCTGCAACACACTGTCTTCCCATCCGTAACCTTTCGACCCAGTCCTTTAAACTTGCGCCTGCATCCTTTACCACACCATTGTCCATTCCACTTCATATGTAACTGTTCACTTTCAATGACAAGGCAAGCTTATAATCGCCCCACCAAAGTGTGAAACAAGGTAATCTTTGGCGTAAGTTTTGTGGTGTAGAGTGTGAGGTCGAGTGTGGTCTTGCAAGGAAAGGCAAAAGACCTTTTCCAAATATTTCTGTTATCACATGGCGGGCACGCTCCGCCATAGACCACCACACATGCGCACGAGTGTAGCATGGTACTGATGAAATGGTGCGTACTTTGGAAACATTGATTGCATGGAGAGTAAACTGTCGAAAGTTATTTTAACGATGGATATACGCATACATTCCTTTGCTTAAAGGAGGGTGCTATACAAACGCCAATTCTCATCACATTTCACTGGAACAGCTGACAGACAGTGTCACATTTGCGGTACGCTTTCTATGAAGAAGTGAGGAACAACGCCAAAACTGTTTAGTAGTGCACGTAGTGGAAAACGGCCTAAATGGCCCCAACGGCTCCCGTACTTCATGTGGACGTCAGCGAGTTGTTCTGCTACTCGCTGTAGGCGTTGCCAAAGGCGCTCTCTCGCTCTAATCAGAGTGGTTTCTTCCGTGATCAAATCCACCTGCAATCGGTTTTTAATCGGAATCAGTTGGCTCATTTCCACTGCCCATCAGCGGGGAGTTCTATCTCCACACCCTCTTCAAAAGTGTGCAGCGAATTAGATAAAATAGCAGATGTCGTAGATTCCTGTTCCAGTGTATACGTCAATAGGGTTTCCCGTAAGTTAATATAGCTGGCTATACTGAAAACAATAAGAAATTTTGTAACCACCGATAAGTTGGTTGCTTACTACGTCACTAAGGTGGCCTGGTAAGAAGTACATATGGTGCAGTTTTAGGAGAAATTCCAGGTGGGCTTTAAATGGAAACATAAATAAAAGTTGATGATTTCGTCGCTTTTTCGACTTTCAAGTGGGCGTTATTGCATATTTACCTAAAACGTTTACTGCTCAAACTATAAAGGGTAAATAAGGGAATGACCTAGTTACCCTGTCCCATTATGCCTCAGCTGCCTATTTGCCTACTTTAGAAAACGCCCAATGTTGGTGACCACCGGTCTAAATCCGGTTGATTTGAGCCTCTGATGGGACCCACTGAATTCGAGGCCCAAATAAGATGAATTCACCTGTTTTGTTTTTACAAGATGAACTTTTCGTTCACCCATTAGTTGGAAATCGCTGGCAGAATTCCATTCCTCGGATGAAAGCTTTCGTCAGCTGGCTTCTTCATTTTAGATGAATTAGTTTACAAGTTTGTTCGAGAAGTTTATTAACTATTGGTTCTGAGATACAGTGAACGTCTACTCATGTTATTCCGCCAGCATTTGTTGGCATGCGCAAACGCATCCTGGACTATCTTCGACCTAGGCGTGAGTAGGTGAGGCCTTCATGTCAAACTCTCTCGGGGTTTATCCCTGCTTCATGAGATCATTTTCATAAATCATCCTATTTACTATGGTGTTTGTTAACTGTGCTAATGGCTACTTCTAACGCTACACGTGGACAACTCTTCAAAGGAAATTTTTTCAATACACAGCAGATACATCGCTAGCACCAAAAATGTGCTTCCAACGCTCAGACCTTTTGTCGAGATAGCTCATGGCAAGAAAAAACGATTACTTCTTCGTCGGTGTAAGTTACGGGCCACCCTTGAGATGTGAAAACTCACACCAAATTGCAAAAGTGGCCGACCAGAGAGAAAGAACTGAGTGCCGAAAACACCAATCCTGACCTGTTTTGGACTACAAGCGTTGTTAATTTATCGTCTTCAACCACTTGAAGCGAGCAATGGACTTGTCGTACTATTGGTCTATTGTTAAAAATTTGTAAAAATTTCTGCATTTTTCAGGAAAACAGACAACTTTTGGGTATCTTCTTGACAACCATGTGCGCCTCAGGCCACCACATTAATAAGTACCCAGGCAACGACTCAAACGGACGAGTAAACATTGCAGATGCTATGAAATCGACGACACTCTCATCTCCAGACGCCCTTGTAGTAACTGATGGTGGCCATCCCAATCACATGACCACCACGTCCAGCGCCAATAACAGCACCAATCACGAATATTTTGCTCGCTCCAGGAACCGTTTTGCAATGGAAGGCGATCTAACCGCAGGCATTCTTCGACAGCCAGTCAGTGATGACGGTTCAGGTGTAGCGGACGAATTCAAATCTGCCGCCGTTTTGGTACCTCTGGAAGTCACTCAACTGCCCACTCAGTACTACTATAATCCACAATCGCCCCACCATAACGCTCCTGTAATACGCTTTGAGTCACTACACGACCTGGTGATTTGGATTTTTGCTACTTAAATTAGTCAAGTAAAATAAATTCAAGAGCAACATCTTCTTTCAGGTAATGGCCCCTACCTCAGAATTCAATGATGTTGGACGTATCATTCAAACACCGATGCCGGAGGTGGCTTATTCGGATGGTATGGAAACCCAACACTTCTATCCAAAGTCACGAAAACAATTTGTTAATAAAATTGCTACTTCGCCGAAGCTTGTCAATTCGTATCATGTGAGTCACAAAACCTCTTAAAGTCAACAGCAGGTCTGCTTATTTGATCATCTCAAATTTCTACACAATTTGTTTAGATGGACGGCAAGAGCGGCGGATTTTAAGAAAGCTCAGCGTCAGATGGGCACCGAGAAAAAGAATCGCATTTAAGCATGAATTCTCCCCTACCCACACATAACTAATGACCTCCACATCTTGTTCATAACTAATGTCAAGTATGTATATTTTACTTATTTTAACTATGGGATAAGAATGTCCCAGTGACAGATGACAGCAGCATCTTCAACATTTTTTTGGGTAAAGGGAGCTTGCTAAAAGCGATTTAACATCATACATGTGACTAGCACGGACTGTCTGAAGATGGTAAGCACAAACCTCCTATCGGGGAAGGTTGATGAATGCTACCTGAAAATAATCAGGATCTTCGTAATGTTTGCCAACTTTTCAAAATCCAACCGGCACCTGAACTTTCCTTCTGCCGGCTGTTTGACTATGGCAATTCAAAGTAGCCTGGCCAATGCGCCACTAATTACGCACAGTTCCTTATTGCCTTCAATCGTATTTGCAGTTATCCTCCCCCTTCCCCCAATCAAATCTGCCACCGGCTCGACTATTCGCCAGTTTTATCTTGCCTAGACAGCTCCTCGGAATGGAGCCTTAAACCGGTCTTGAATGTATGCATTCCCACACATGTTCGAAAGAACAATGAGCATAACAAAAAGTGCATCCGGCAATTCCCACGTCTTGTAGCTCCCTTCGCCAAAGAAGTTAGAAATTTAAAACAAAACCTAACATCTGGGAAGCATTCATGGAAAGGATTCACAAAACTCCGAAATCCTTTCGGAAAAAATTAGTCTAGGAAGTGCAAATGAAAACAATAGTATTTTGATAGAAAGCTACAAGATAGAGAAGTACAAATATGTATATATTACTAGTTGCTCACAGCCACATCACTCATGTCTTTGTTGTCAGTTTTCCGCCGATTCAAGGGTAATAGGGAGTAGAGAAAGCATATTACTCGAGAAATGATCCGCCAAACAAATCGAAGAGACTTCCTTACTAACAGATATATTATCTAAAGCAAAAGTAAAACAATGAAATCGGCCATGACATGATTCCTCCTGTAGTACGCATTGAAGTCATCTTTGGAAAAAACGCGGAAAATTGCGCCGAAGAGAAATAACGACTTTTTGAGAAATCACTTCTTGGTGGTGAGATCAAGGTTAGGACAGGCAAAGTGAAAAGTTAACCGGATTTTAAGAAAGATAAAGGTCATTCAGCTGGAGCAGGACCATCAAATGATTCCAAAGCACGAAAGTTCAGTACCTCTGACAATGCAAAAATATGAAATCGCCGGAATTCGATAAATGTATGCAGTACACGTGGAAATGTAGGTAACTAAAGCAATCCTGCTCATATTTTAACATAAAGTGCTTTTGACAATGAACAAAACAAATATTTTCACATACTCTGAGAACTCCAGTGTGTCGAATTCCGGGAATAAGTAGACCAACGATAGTGAGGACATATGCGATAAGAATTCCATCGTAATCATAAGTCAAAACTTCCAGATTTACGATGCCACACAAACAAACAATAGTATAAACATAGGGCCTGCGTTGCCTCAATTCTGACAGGTGCTGAAAAATCGAAATAAACAGTTGGCGTCCATTTAGAATCCTTCGACAAAAAGCCCGATATCGTTGATTATGCTCAGCCAGCGGTACTGAAGGAAGAAATCTAGCCAATGAATTATTTATGCAGCTGCAGCACCCACCTCAATGCCAATTTCGGGCCGAAATAGCACCAAAGACTAAAGCAGAGTGAAAGACAGCCAAGTGACACAAGAAAAGGCGGTTCGAAAGTCCAAAGGAGGGCGTAAAATAAGGTGACAACAAGAATAATGTATAACAGGACCAATGGTTTTTCCCAAGTAAGTACACATTCAAATTGAACAACAAGCTTCTGCCAATCCTTCAGATCGGCCATAAGTCGAACAACATCACTTCCACAGACCTCGACTGGAGCTGACATTCTCGGAGCACTTGCATAGTCCGCCTAAAAGCCATTGGCTGAGGGGATATTATCGACATTATTTGTAGCCAGTTTTTGAGCTTAGTAAATTCAGACAATTTATATAGGCTTGCAAGCTCTTTCAAAGTGACCACAGTTCGTGGACAATTAAAACTAAAAGTTACGAAACTGGCTGTAAATGCAAGCAAATTAGCGAATTGATTTGTAGGCAAATATCTTAATGGGAACAATCCGACATACATGGGCTAATAGATGCCTAGAAGTAGGGAAAGTTTACGACAATGAAACTTTGAGAGAAAATTATTGTGACTTCCGGAAACCAATGAATGGGATAGAAAGCACAGAAGCGAGGCTGTGGCCTAGCCCAAAATCCAGCCCATGATGAACGAACAAGATGACCGCTAAATTGATCGTCATTCACACCAGTAATCAAATAGGCAAAATATTTTAACTCTTTGGGACTTCTCATTAGGTAGAAGAAGGAGTCAAGTTGCCAGCTCTTGCGTACCAGAGCGAAATAGAAGCTCAATGCGACCGCCGGGCATTAGGTTGTCGTGCAAGCAAAATAGTATAAGTATTGGAGCGATGGTATTAATTTGGATCAAAATTTGGATTAAGAGTTTGCGGTGTCCCAAGACTTCTTAGCTGGTATAAGAAGACACTAAGTGCAGCTGGATACATGTATTCCGAAGACGAGAGGGCAAATGGGCCTGGGCGTGGCTCGAAGGCCAGTCCACGTGTACAAGAGCCTAACACATTCTAAAATAACATCCGAACGTCAGGAAGTCAAATGAACAAATCATTACAGAGCCAATTTTGTGTTCCAATTGTTGTTCTGCATTCAGTTTGGCTAAGCTGCGAGCCGTATTATTAGTCCCAACCTGCTGATTTTTTCAGGATATGTCTTGCGCCAAGGAATTATGACGTCCTTTACCCACGGGTAAGAACCAGAAGGCTCTAACTAGCACCATTAGTGACTTCCAAGTTGGTTGCGCCTTAACAACCCATATCTGACTACATTGTTACACTTTATTGTTATGTTTGCAATTCTTACTGTGTGTGTACTGTGTAAATTGCCCTTACAGGGGTGAGATAGTCATCCACTACGGATCCCGTGCTACAGGAAGGTGTGAATTCTTCTCTGGAGTAAGGTTGGAGACTTGCCTTTATCATACTCCAAATCTCCAGTACTCTAAAGCAGGTGTCAAATTAAACTTATTAACGCAAACCTCTACTCAGGAAGGTAGAATTACTTGAGCCTGAGAATGAAATGAGAGAAACTACAATGGTTACAACTCGTGCGCCATCACTTTTATCAACAAATGCGATTACGAAGAATTGCAAACCACTTTTGCCTCGAAGATGTAGAGCAAGACTTTCAATACAATGGCATAGCTACTAGCGCCTTATTTTGATGGTCTTTTGTTGCAACTTTGGTAGACAAATTAAATCAATCTTTTAAGAGAGCAAAGTGCCTTTCCTAACTCTTTTTCCATGATCAGAGAATGACTTTTGGCTTTCAACAACATTCGCCTTAATTCATGGAAGAGGACACACAGACATGAGAAGGCATATACAAACCAGTAGGCAATTAAGATGCACTAGGATGTCGACTGAGAGAAATGAGAACAATTGTGCAGAGGGCCGAAACAATACCCGCAATCGATAGCCAATCCCCACGCAGTAACTCCGCGCAGTAGCACTTGACCACAAACAACGCACTCAAGAAGAAGCAGCTGCCGGTCGCCCACCGCATACTCATTTGTCGCATCTCTGTTCGAGTAAGACTGCAGGCGCTTCGTGCCGTCGTATCGTCCATTTCACTGATCTCCTCCGTTTCTAAAATTGGGGGATTTCCCACAAGCATCCAGAAATTTGTCGTGGTTGTGGATGCTGTCGATGTTGATGATATTGTTGATGAATCTGTCGTAAGAGCAGACGATGAACAGGAGCAGGAGTAGCTGTCCAGGCCATTCGCTAGACTCGACTCAACTATCATACTGGTGGAAATTACCGGAAAACCAAGAAGAGATACCTCCAACTCGCCTTCCAAAGCCTCTTCACCAATCAAATCATCATCGCACATGCAGATATGATGATATTGGGTGCTTCTGACCGGAGACGCTTCTACCCATTCCCAACTGTGTAACTCAGCGCAATTCATGGTTTGCTTTTCAACAGAAATCCTCCCTGTACTGTTGTTTCTAGTTACTGAAAATGCAGCCTGTTTAGGAATGTAGTCCGCAATCATTTTGGGTAAGGGGAGCGCATGGGCTGATGATGCGATGATGAGATGTGAGGCAAAGATATAAGTTCTTTCGTCTTTGTTTTTTGCAACCTCTGTTAACTTCATGGATTCATACTTCGGTGATGCAAAATTAACCGAGAGCACACAGTCGGCCGTCATTGGTGATGAGGAGGCATTTAAGAATGATTTCTTTGAAGCCTTGTTAAAGGATTCAAATTGGAATAATATGTTTTCCTTCAACTCAATGCCACGTCTTTGAGTTATCAATTCTGCAATACCCGTCGGAACTCGACTTAGAAAGGCTTCCATACTAATAGAACTGAAGCCATCTTTGCAGACCAAATCACATATATGCTGTGGTTTTAAGCGATCAAGATCTAGATCCTCTACACACTGACTCAGGTCAACTACATGATCGTTCCTTTCAATCGCAATTATAATCGTCTTCCCTTGCAAAAATGACACTTCTTTTGTCACTTCAGTACCTTCTAAAGTTGCAGTAGGAGCTACTTCGTTACCTTCAGGAGGTTTTGACTTCTGCTCCTTTTCAGTGGATTGCGTGTTAAATTCTGTCTGTTCTTGCACTTGACTATGAATTTGCGATTGTGTAACTGAAGCCTCATCTCCTTGCGGCTGTGATCGGTTACTGGAAAGTCTGTAGCTTTGTTGAAGCTGCCGTTTAGCGGGTCTCTTCACAGGTTTGGGGTGTCTTGAAATCCGCCTTCGAGGTAGCTCTACTTCCGACAAATTCTCCTCCATATTTGAAAGGTTCTTTTGAGGTCGACGATCAACTATCAGTCTTCCTCGGGTTCCTGCCAATCCAACGAACTCTCCAATATCCCTGCGGTCTCGTAAATACCTGGCCTTTAGCAATTTTCTTATTGCTGCTCTTCTCGGGAGCGATGTGGGCGAATTTGTTTGATGACTGCTGATGTAGGTGGACGGAGCGTGTTCAGAAAAAGCGTCCAATTTAAGGAGATTGATGAGAGATTTTACCTTTTTGCGCTGATAAGAGGATCTTGAAGCTTGATAACTCGATGTGTTCACTTTCCCTTCTTCAAGACTGCGTTGAATCTCTCTACAGGCATAATTCCAGATGTCACTGACGTCAATTTCGCGGTCTTTAGGAGCTTGAATTTTGATGTGTATAGGGTTTGATAAAAAAAAATAAAACCGATCTTAAAACTGTCACCTTGGTAGGAGTGGTGGCGACTGAAACAGCTCAGTTGCAGTTGCTTCAAAGGGCGTTTGAGTGTGAAACCATCGATTTTTGTGCAGTTCCTTTAAGTTTAAACGGCAAATTGGTGACAGTCCAAGAAAATGGGAAACGTGTGGGACTTGGAATGTATTCAAGCGTTCCAAAGTCAAGAGCAGCGTGTGTGCGAATTTGGAGAAATGTATCCCATTTGCAAGCATAAAAGCGTCCAGGCTGGGCCGGACACTTCGATTGAACATTTTTGTATAAACACGCTTTTGCATTCTGTCATGAGGACTAAACTGCTGGTCTAAGAGACGTATTTTGAGGTAAAGGTTAAATCGCTACCTGACACAACAAAAATTCTTATACCCTGTCAAAAAGTATTCTACAAACTAAAGTCTTTGCGTGATGATCAAATAGGGGTGACGTCGGCGCGAAAAACCAACCGGCATTTAATAGCAATTGTCTCCACAAGGAGAGCATTTAGCCACGGCAAATCCAAGACGATAAAAGAGAGGAGTACATTCAACACAGTCGCTTTGTTCACAAACGAACACCTAAGAAGGTCCTCTAGACGCTTCCACTAGTCCATTGGTTGGGGAGGTCCTCAGAATATGGCATTTGCTCAAATTAAAACCGGTGCTGT